TTAGTCTTCCCTGATGGAAAAACTATGCAACCTTTTTCCCTTGAAAAATCATTGGGAGTCTAGGTAACTATAAGATCCTTGGTCCCCTCAGACCTAAGGTAAAAGAACTGAATTAAAATGATTGGTTATTGTTTGAAAGACTATACTGCCTATATATTTTTCTTTGTCAGTAACCCATTTCTTCAATGAGTATGCAAGTTCTCCATTGATAGGAAATTGTGCTTCCTTTGCCCTCCCTGTCTTCCCAAAATCCTTAGTACAGCTTCTGCACATAGTAAGACTCTGAGAACGTACATCAACATTAAATAACTGGAAAGAAAGTCATGTCCTCTGGGAAAGAAGGGAGAAGAGTGTTGGAAGTCCCTGACAACTCCCCAAAGCCTCTGAATCCATCATTCTCACTGAGTCTAAGTTGTAATAACATCTGGGCTTTATACATCCCCAAATACCTCATGGGTTCAGACCAGATGGCTGGAGACTACAAAACCCTGTCTATGCATCTCCATCCCTGGTCTAAGCTCCTAGATCCCAAAGAGTTAAAGTCAAGGTTTTAGATTGTCCTCACCTTGAGTATTTACCAGAAGGTATTTGCCCATGGGAGACAGCTTATTGTTTATAGAAAGTAATGACTTTGGAGGAGTAAGAATTCCCTGGGGAGTGAGGAGCAGTAGAGAAGCCCAGTGGAGATGAATCCTCATAAAGCAGAGGAGAGGACACAGGCAGAGAGGATGTAAAGCAAAGCCTCCAGCCTGAGACAACTCCTTTTCTTTTCAGTATAGCAGGTGAGATTCTAGAAAGTTCTCTAAGGCTCTGACAAGGACAGCTTCTCAGAATATCTGTGAGTCATAGTAGGGCTTAGGCTTGAGACTTCAAGAGAAGTGTCAGACTGAGTGTACAGGTCTGGGGCATAGATTGAAGTGTAGTAATTGTGTATGTGTTGGGGGGATGGTAAGTTGGAGACAGACTGAGAATCTATGTGGGACACTAAATAGTGGGGAAACTCTGACATAACTTTACAAAGATTAAAAAAAAAACAAAATCACCTATTCAGTAACCAAATAATTAATCTGGAGATTTTCCCTAAAATGTCCTCAGCAGTCAGAGCTTAGAAAATAGAACATTCCTTTTTCATTATCATTAACCTCTGAGATCTTTTTTAGTTTCTCTGATTCCTGAAAACAAGGAAACATGGATTCTAGACCTGACTCTGATGCTGAGTTCCTACTGCCTTTACAAGTTTGTTCTGCTCATTGCTATGAGACTTTAGCCCTCTGTGTGTGTTGATGTCCGTTCTACTCCCTTTTTAATATATCTTTTTGCTCCTGAGTAATACTGTATATTAATATCTGTTGCCTTAATTACACCATTTTACCATATTTCAATAAAACTTCACTCAGGGTCTTACAGGATGTCTTCAATGTCCCTTCTAGTTCACCAAATATTTACTGAGTTGCCAACTATGTGTAAGTTCAACTGTTGGGAGCTGGAGATGTAAAGATAGATATATCTGACTCTGCTTCCAAGGAGTTTATGAGTTTATACAACTTATTTATATATGGATAGACCTTCACACACATATATAATGTAATATACAATGTATACATATATAATAATTAAATTTCCTGTTGTTGGTATTATTATTAGTATTATTAATAACCTTTAATACTGAAGTATTAAGTATTTCCAGCTTATATGACCCCTCACATTATGACTTTCCTTTCCATGTAATTATCTGGAATTGAGTTCAAGGACACTGGAAACTTTTACATAACTTGTACTTTAAGGGAGTTTTTAACCTATAAAGGCACACAAAGGCATGTAAGAGTCCTCCCCTACCTTGCAGTGAAATTGGATATAGGAAATATTCATAGCACTGAAATTTAAATACCAGTCAATTTATAGTCTTTGGTTTGGTTTTCGTCTGTAAAGTAACTAGATTGCTAGATAATTTTTGAAGGTCTTTGAGTCTATGATCTATAATGACTATATCTATAATCTATAATGACTGATCAGTCATTCCTTTTCACAAATAACAAATTTCTTTCCCCTTGAATTTGTACTGGAGAAGGTTTTCTTGACTCTAACCTCAATCAGAGGTTGGTTCTCCACCTCCCAGAAAAACAAAAACCCATATTTTCAATGCTAACATTCTACTGAGGTGACTACATGGTATTGAAGTATGGAAAGCAATTGCCTATGAAAAACTAAGGGTGAGTATCTTACAGAGGGCAATGGAGAGACTCACAGTCAAGATGATCCTGCCACTATAAAAGACAAATGAGGAAATATGAAGAAGAATAAGAGATGGATTCAAGGGATTTTATGATAGGAAGAGAAGATGGGCTGGTCATGTGGCAAGAATGAGAGCCTGAGTGCTGAACTGATACCCTCTCAATGTCAACAAAATGAGGAAGCCCTCCAATATGTTGAGTGAGTTTTCTGTGCTAAAATTTTGGAGGAACATGGACAAGACTCCCATATGGTGGATACTTATGAAAGGATTGGAAAGAAGTCTAAAATGAATGTGATCACAGAAACATTTGCATATTTGAATAGTGTCAGTTAGCCAGGCAGCATAGTGAGTTGCAGAATCAGGAACATCTAGTTTCAATTGTGTCCTCTAACAGGCACTAGTAAGTAAACCTTCCTAAGTCATTTAACCTCTTCTTTCCCCCTTAGGACTTTCCTGCACTAAATGAATGTCTGCTTTTTTTTTAAAAAAAAAAGACATAAAATAAAACAAATACTTCACTCAGAATGTTACTACAATTAAACTAGTTTCTTCTTGTTTTGCTTACAATGAGACTGGGAACTACCTTCAATTCTCTCCTCCCCCATTCTGTGTCCTATGTGTCCTGACTCATCTGCTTATTGCCCCTCTCCCTTTTTTTAAATTCACATTTAATGTTCATTTGCATTCTCCTGCTTGTTTTCAATTCTGAGCCAAACTTCTTGTCCATTTAGAATTTTGGTTTAAGACATACATACTGACGAACAGCTTTAAAGTCCACATGCATTATTTAGGGGAACTACATCTGTGATTACATCATCTCAGGGAAGTTCTGATTTCATCTACTGATGAAGAATAAGAGCATCTCTGAAACATGTTGTCTTAAAAAGCTTGTCAGAGATAAATAACTTGCCAAATTTCACACAACTAGTATGTGGTGGAAGTGTGATTTCTGACTCCAGGTCTAGGTCCAGTCCTCTATCCATTATGCTACAATTTATATTGTAGCCTGGAAAATAATATACTAGATTCTTGTAGAACTTTTTTTTCACTTTGTGCATAGAATTAGGACAAATTCTTTCAAGAATCTCTGGATCTCATTTAGAAGGGTCTACATTGATTTAGAGTTGTTTTAATGAGTACTTAGAATTTCTTTTCCTCTTTATCTTAATAGATGTAATCATTCAAGTTTCAATTATTTTCATGATTTTTTTTCAAAAGTTTATCATGAACACTGTAATATGCAATCACCAAGTGACCTATGAAGTAATATTTATTTTTAACATTTGGATACATGAAAATACTAACTTTTTATGTACTTTTCCAAGAAAAAAATCTATGTAATTCTTCCATTTGCTTACAACTTTCAGTTATCTTTTGGATTAATTTATAATGAGAATGTTGAAATTAAGATGTCAGTTCTTCTATTGATTTGACTGGTTACTTGAAAAGAATTTTACATTTATAGTACCAATAGCTAAGGTAATGTTTATAGATGGTCTTGAAACTGTGATTTTCACAAATTTTTGTCTTTCCTATCATTGTGTCATTATCTTTGTAGAAGTGAAAGGAAATCTGGTTCTTCTAATTCTCTAAATATTGCATATATATCAATGAAATAAATGAGCTTTCCATTGGTTAATTCCCATTCTTGATATGTGACTGTTCCATCTCTTTTCTGGACATATCATTTTTAATAAGAATGCTAGTATGTATATGATTGAGTTATTATAGTAACTATATATAATATAAATATAAAATAGTATATAATAAAATATTTTCAAGTTTATCAATTAAAACACACATTTATTGGTCAATGGACACACTTATACTATCAGAAGTTACTTCAATATGAATAGATGACACCCAAACTGTCTTATTTTTAGTTAACTTTACTCCTTTTCTGACAGTCTGTCATCATCTATGCAGAAAGAAAAGAAATGAATCTTATGAGATAGATCAATGTTTTGTATATATCTTTATTTCATAGGTACCATGAGTAAATGGTTACTATACCTGTGGGGATAAGCCTCTCTATGTAGGTTGGCCCTCAGAAACCATACTAAATATTTCTTTGGGATGACACTATGCCCATTTCAGCCAGGTAAAATCAATCAGAGCTTGTACTCCACTGATATAGTCTTTGAGAACTCAGGTCATCTTCATGTCACAATGATACATCAGAATAGGCCTTTGTGAAGTTATTTTGTGCAGCTGTTACAAAACAAATAAGTTTCAATAAACAAAGTTCTTTAAAATTTGAAGTAGATATTATAAATTTTATATCTAATTTAAAACATTTTATAATTTTTAAGTTAAATGGAAATATAGAGATGAAAAATGACCCAGTCTTTCCCCTAAAGAAATTTACAGTCTAGTAGAACATAAATTATATGTACATAAACAAATGTAATTCAAGGTAGAATTTTATAAGAGCAAAGAAGATATATAAGTACAGGTTCTGGGAAAGCTTCAGAAAGACAGGACATTTTATTTGGAGGTTATATGATTATAAATTTTAACTCTAGAGGAAAGAGAAGAGAATAAATTTTATATGGCACCTTCTATGTACGAGGCACTGAGCTACATTTCTTACAAATGTCATCTCATTTAATCCTCATTCTCAATTGATCTTATATCTATTTTAGAAGAATGGGCTTCAGGAGCATCATTTTCCTTGTCAAACTTCTCATCTCTGCCTGCTGACAAGGAGTAAAAACCAACTCTGTGGCTATCATTTCAGATCTGTGATGATATCCTCTGATTAATCATGTCAACTGTCAATGTCTCTGATATTGAGATATCCACCTTCTTCTTGATTGGAATCCCAGGTCTTGAGCAATTCCATATCTGGATCTCTATTCCTATATGTCTCATGTACCTAGTTGCCATCCTAGGAAACTGCACCATCCTCTTCATCATCAAGACAGAGCCTTCACTCCATGAGCCCATGTACTATTTCCTCTCTATGTTGGCTGTATCTGACCTGGGCCTGTCCCTCTCCTCCCTGCCCACTATGCTAAGGATCTTCTTATTCAATGTCCCAGGAATCTCACCTGATGCCTGCTTTGCCCAAGAGTTCTTCATTCATGGCTTCACTGATATGGAATCATCAGTCCTTTTGATCATGTCTTTTGATCGTTTTCTAGCCATCTGGAACCCACTGAGATACAGCTCTATCCTAACTGGAGCCAGAGTCTCTAAAATGGGACTGGTTTTCGTCATTAAGAGCATGCTTTTGGTGCTCCCGTTTCCTTTTACTTTAAAGAGGCTGACATATTGTAAGAAAAGTCTCTTGTCCCATTCTTACTGTCTTCACCAGGATGTCATGAAGTTAGCCTGTTCTGATAATACTGTTAACTTTTTCTATGGTTTCTTTGTTGCTCTTTGTATGATGTCTGACAGCGTATTCATAGCTATATCATATGTACTTATACTAAAGACTGTGATGGGTATTGGTTCACACAGAGAACGGCTTAAAGCCCTCAACACCTGTGTTTCCCATATCTGTGCTGTTCTCATCTTTTATGTGCCCATCATTACTTTAGCCTCTATGCACCGCTTTGGCAAGAAGTCACCACTGGCATTGATCCTAATTGCAGATGTCTTTCTGCTGGTGCCACCGCTAATGAACCCTATTGTGTACTGTGTGAAGACCAGGCAGATCAGGGAGAAAGTCCTGGAGAGGCTAGGTCTGAAGCAGAGATGATGGAGCCAGATTTGGGCTGCTGATTATAATGAAAGCTGAAGAGAGTTTCTCCACATATCAATGCCATAGAAAACCCTCTAGCCAGCACCAATGTTGCCATCATCCTCACTGATAACAACGCCACCACTGTTGTTATCACCACTATCATCACCATCAGTGGCAAGAACATTATTTTTTTCTTGGTAAATCTATTGCAGGAACTTCTTGGAGTAAAGAAATCACACAATCATACTTTCACCTATCAGAAACTGTCAGTTTTAAAAAGACACATTGGCAAAACCTAGTCTTGTGAAGCATCAGCGTGAAATACAATTATCTACATTGTCTCTAATCTAAGGTTAAGGTTAATCATGAAGTGAAGATGGAGTGGAGAGTTTAGAAATTTTCTGAACAGAAAGTGTGAGGCTGAGGGAAGATGGGATATAAAATAGCCATTTCTCTCTTTTCCCTTCTTGTTAACAGAAAACAATGATGAAAAATAGTTTGAAAATCAGATTTCTCAAAGAAGAATTTTAAATTACCCAAAGATTGTTAAAAAATTATAACACATGACAGAGAATGTCTCAAAATCAGGTGAGACAATAAAAAGGAAACGATTTGGAGTTCAGAAACATTAATGATAAATAATATTCCACAATAGAGAATCAAAAGACTCAAAGTCAATCAATTAATAAATATTTATTAGCATTTACTACATGCTAGACACTATATTAGGCACTGTGGATACAAAACAAAGGTGACATAGTTCTTGAAGCAACTGATATGATAGCAGGGGGGCAACACATGTATGCATATACAAAAGAGATAGAGAGAGAGAGAGAGAGAGAGAGAGAGAGAGAGAGAGAGA